CAGCTTACTCCAGTGACAGCATCTCATCACAGTCTTCCCAAGGTCTTTTCCTGTCCAAGGAAGGTTTAGCCAGTGCTCCCTGGGCCTCCATCAGAGTGTGTTATCACGATAATAATTGAACATTTGTATCATGTTTAGTAAATACCAGCAGGATCTCTGGAAACCATTCATAGATACTACAGCCCATTGAAATGCCAGAGTAATTCACTGTCCCCATTTCACAGATGAAGGAACTGGGCCTCATGGGGTGCACACTGTAGCAGAAGAGATTTACTGTGTGCAGGGTAGGCAGTGTGTTCTGCTGCTTCTCCTGTAGGTCTCACTGCGCATTCACAGCTCGGATGAGTACCACGAGGCCACGGGTAGTACACGGGTAGTATTTCTCTCCCTCCATTTTTGTGGAGGCAAGGGTGAGTAAAACTCTGCTCTCTCTTAGGGTAGCTGCTGATAGACAGGGAGAGAAGGATATTGAAGTGGCTATTGGTCCTCTTCTGTCTCATTTCTATGACGCTTAGTTCCTGACTCTCACATGGTAATCGCAAGTTTATCAACACTGAAGTCTCTTGGTTCTCACATTGATGCCAAGATGTGTGAGACGGGCATGCTGGCAGGCTGCCTGTCTGGCCGTGTTATAGGTGTTCAAACCCAGCTGCCATACTGAGCACTGTTCAGAAGCATTTTCCCAAATCCCTCTCTGGTCATAGTCCTGCAGGATTGGTCATTTCTTCAAAGAGGCTTGATTCCAAATCCAATTACTGTGTATCAGTTATCACTGCCACCTGCCTGCTCTGTAAATATCTCGTTGCTTCTGTGAATGCAGTGGGAAAGGAAGGGGTGCAGGGAGGGAAAGGTCACGTCTAGCTCAGTGTTGCATTTGCTGCCAGATACAACAGAAACCAAGTACATTTGTGCCTGAATGACCTTGGTAACCTGATCTCTCATATTCCATGTGTTGCAGCAAAGGACTAAATGCTGGAGTCTAACATCTAAGAGGTGATTAGCACTTTGGCACTTACAAAATGCTTTCATGTTAATCTGAGCCTCATGGCAGACTTTATAGGTGAAGAAACTGAGCTCCAGGGAGGGTAATCAGCTTGTCTGAGGCTCTCCACTTAGCGCTAGCATAGTCAAAACAAGGGTCTGCATTTTGCGGAGGCCCCAGAGTGGAGCAAAGACTAAGACTTTCATGTTTCATAGAATGGGGTTCCAACCTAGATACTCTGCCACTAATCAATTTTGTGATCTTCCCTAGCTTTTAAACAGGTAGAGTCCCGTCCTTGCTGCATGCAGTTATTGTGAGAGAGGAGGACATGGTACATATGAAGAATTTGGCAGAGTATCTGGAACGGAAACTAACCAAGAAATGTTAGGTCCTCTAAACCAGTCCAATCCTCCAGGCATCAGGAGTGAGTCTGGTTACAGTTACTAGAATGGTAAAGCAATGTTGACTTAAGCAAATGGTGTTTATTTTTCTCACAAATAAAAAGTCAGAAGGCAGGCAGTCCTGGAGCTGAATGATGCCATCCAAGACTGTTTACGTTCTTCTATCCCCTTGACCCTCCACAGCATATCGGTTTGCTGCCTGGTAATCACAAGGTGGCTGCTACATTCCAGCCATCATATATAGAGGAAGAAGCTTCCAAAGTCACTGGATTTGTCTTTTGTAAAATAAGCAAAGGCATTCCTAGATCCCCACCCTCAACCACAGCAGATAGCTGCACTTGTCTCTTTGGCTTAAACTAAGTCTTCTGGCCATCCGTAGCTGCAAGGGAGAACTCGGGAAATGACCATTTAGCGTTTCAGATTTAACTGTACAGGTTACATAGAAGAAGGCCTATGAGAATGGAGTAGATGAAACTCATTGGACGTGCCACAGTCCTTCCTCTTCTTGCATTGTCATTAAAAAAATATTTCATTGGTCTGCAGATGGGTGAGTTAATCTTAGTCCTGTATTCATGGCGAGGGGCAGCGAAGTCCCTTTTATAGATTGTGTCTCCTTTATTTGCACAAAATGTGTAATGTTTTACGTGCACCTCTTTTCTTTTTTCTTTTCTCCTTCCTTCCTTCCTTCCTTCCTTCCTTCCTTCCTTCCTTCCTTCCTTCCATTCTTCTTTCCTTCTTTCCCTTTCTCCCTTCCTCCTTCCCCACTTCTTCCCTCCCTCCCTTCTCCCTCCCTCTCTTCCTTTCTGTTTTCTTCATACACTGAAATGCACAAATCTTTACTAGACGGCTGAAAGGACTTCTGCTGTTTATCTCCATTAAAGCACACAGAGCAGTGTAGAGACCACTCCTGGTACCCAGAGACTTTCCTCTTCTCCCCACGGGCAGTGCTTCTCAAAGGCAGCCATTGTTCTGATCCCTGTCACCACAGGTCAGTTTTACCTATTCTTGGACTTCACTGAAATGGAATCATACCTCTCAACTTGCCCTTTGTGGGTCTGACTTCTTTACCTGGGCTGTGAAACTCACCTCTGTTATTGCATGGGGCAGTGCTCACTTCAGTTGTCTCCTGCTTTCTCCCATCCTTTATCCTCTGCACAGACCTGAAATGTGGCATTATGAGAACCCAAGTAGCACAGAGCAGGAAGTTTCCCGTTTCCGCTCCTCGAGGGTCTTTTCCTCCTAAAACCACCCTCTTTGGTTTCTCGCAAAGCCTGTCTGTCCATTGCTCTCTCTAGCTCTAATTCTGCTTTAAAAGGAATCTTTGGGGGATTATGTTTGCCTTGGATGCTGTCAGTATTAAAGAATTTTCTTGAGGACGTCTTCACTTGGCAAGGGTGGAAGAAGAGAGTAGGAGAGGGACATGTTCAGGAAGGACATTTTTAGGCAAAGGAAAAAACAGCCGCTAAAGGCGTCATTTGGAACCAGAGCCTGGAAGCCAGCCTTCTGAGCCAGGATTTGCATCATTCTGTGTTCCTCCCCCTTCCTGTAGTCTCAATTCAGAGCTCAAGGGCACTAAAACTACCCGTGACTCTGTCTGCCTTGGGGCGGGACAAGCTAGTCTGAATTCAGGTTGACTCGTGAGAAACTGTCTTCCACCAAGACTGTGGCTTGTGGGGTTCCCCTATCAAAGCTGGTGGGGCACATGTTGTGGAAACATTCCACCCAGGAGGACTGGAGAGCAGGGGAAAGCACTGATGTGTTTGCATGGAGTCCTAAATGAAGATGAAAGGACTCATTATTCCTACAAGTGTGGTCATGTAGGTAAGTCAGGGATCAAGTAAAAAAACTGAAACTATGCAGTCAGCTCTAATGGCTGGTTGTCATCATCTTCCTTTTAGATAGGTGCTGGTTCTTAGCCTTTGGTCTCTAGGATTAAGTAGTAGAATATTTGGCTAAGGCATAATCAAGGATTCTGTGTGTAGTTAGAATATTTTATTAGGTGTATTGCATAATCTCTATATCCTTTGCCCTTGTTAGGGGCCTTGCGCTATATTATTTAAGTTATTATCCACAGGACTTGGGAATGTAAGATTATTCTCATTTTATTTTATTTTATTTTATTTTATTTTATTTTTTGGTTTTTCTCCAGTACCAGGAACCGAACTCACGACCTTGTGCTTGCCAGGCAAGTGCTTTTGCCGCTGAGCTAAATCCCCAGCCCCAGATTATTCTCATTTTAATAGTGAGTAAATTGAGGGTTAGAGAATTTAAGTAACCTGCTAGTAACTAACAGGTAGTAGAGAAACTTACATTCAGAATAGTCTCTCAGATTCCAAAGGCCTTGTACTATAATATCTTACTTGGGTTTGATTTTTTTTTTTTTTTGGAGGCAGAGTTCAAGCTAGCCTTGAACTCATGGCAATCCTCCTACCTCAGCCTCTCGAGTGCTGGGATTATAGGCATGCGCCACCATGCCTGGCTGATATATTACCTTTTTAAAATAAATAGCCAGGCATGGTGGTGCATGACTGTAATCCCAGCACTCGGGAGGCTGAGGCAGGAGGATCATTGTGAGTTCGAGACCAGCCTGGGCTACAAAGTGAGCTCAAGGCCAGCCTGAACTGCATAATGAGACCCTGTCTCGAAAAAAAAAAGATAAAATAAATTCCCACCATTTTTTTTTTCCCTTGAGACAGGGTTTTGCTAAATTACCTAGACTGGCCTCAAACCTGTGATCCTCCTGCTTCTGCCTCCCAAATGCTGGGATTTCAAGCATAAGCCACCATGCCTGGGCTAAACACCCACCTGTCTGATGTACCAGCCACTATACCCTTTGACAAATGCTTGTCCTACAACTGACTGATTTTAGAATAGCTGAGAACTGCAAGGACTTTGCCATATATTTTGATTTTAGCTAGTTGTTGAAGCTTCACTGTAACAGAGTGCAACACATATTTACTAGGCTCAAAGGATCTGTTACATTTTATTAAAGGAATTTTTAAAACTACTTAAAACCAAGAGTGCAGTGGAAAAGACCCGGCCCGATGATAGGGAGATACTAGTTTTATTCCTAGTGTTACCACAAATCCCAAGAAATGGCAAGACCTGGGGCCAGGGATTTAGCTTGGCGTCACCATGCCTGCCTGGCAAACATAAGGTCCTGAGTTTGATTCCCAGTACCAAAAAAAAAGAAATGGTAAGACCTGGAATATAGATCTAACCACTACGTATCTCAGTTGCCCTCATTTTCAAAATTAGAACAGAGAAGTAGATAACATTGAAGCTTTCACAAAATTTTTAAAGTATATAAATCCTTTATCCTTCCAAGTCCCGCTACATTTTCCATTGAATTTCCCAGTCTGTCACTCCCACCAAACAAGGGTATAGGTTCTTCAATAATTCATATTGGAGCTTAGATGCCTTGAGGGCCTGGCAGGCTTTCATCTTGGAGATAAGGATATAAAATATTGCCTATAGCCAACCTCAGATTACCAACCTAACGCAAATCTCTCCTTGTTCAGTATATGAGTTAATAATGTAAAGTATTTTCAATTATATTTGGTACTATTGAATTAAGATGAATGCACTATACTTAAATTGATGCTGCTTTGTTTCAGACCCAGTAAAGAGAAAACTGGCCACATGAGTGACTCAGGAGCATCTGTCATCAAACATGGACTCAGTTCCGAAAAGCCCTTCATGCAGGTTCATTATTTAAAGGTAAGAGCATCTAGTGGCAGGAGGCACCTGTGACAGTGCAACATATTTTAGGTTATATGATGATTAGTAGCATGACTGAGGCAAAGCAAAAAGATCGTCCACATTGCAGTGATGTCTGGGTGGAATCGGAGAGTGCACTCGGTAAAGCACTTCCTACCTGCAAAGGGGGCCACATTGGGAAGGCTTGACTCAAAGGAAGCCGAGGTGTCCCTGCCCTCTTCCTATTCCCGGTGGGTCAGCTTTAAAGAGCAGAACCTGCAGATTGCTCTCAATTGCGTCTCGAAGACAATGGGAGTAATGAAGCGAGGCTATTCCTGGGAGCTGATGCCGAGAGGAGCTGACCTCTCTTCCCTTTTGGTTCGAGGTAGCTGTCCAAGCTGTACGGAGTCAAAACAAAGTTGGCGATGAGCTTACCAAGGGAGTTGGAGGCGCTATAGGTCCTCCTCAGTTCCTACTGTGGGCCTCCTGGTCAGAATGCAAAGGGCAGCCCAGGACAGGTGAGGTGGTGCTTGTGAGCTGTGCCCTGTGCACAGTGGGCGAGTTGAGTGTGCAAATGTTTTTATACTTCCGTGATGAACCCACCATGGGCATCTCTGTCTTTCTTCCAGGGCTACTTCCTCCTTCGGTTCCTCACCAAAAGACTTGGGCATGAAACCTATTTTTCATTTTTAAGAAAATTCGTGCACAAGTTTCATGGACAGTTGATTCTTTCCCAGGTAACTAATAGGTCCTCACAAGTTCATGTGGTATACTTGGAGGGGATATGGCATGTGGGGGTTAATTTATCCCAGTATTAAAAACAGGAGACAGTTTTTTCCATTTCATGCCATGAGAAAGTTAATGAAGTGGACAGAAGGGAGAGTGTTGTCTTAGGGGGAGGGTAAGCTCCCTGTTGCTTGGGGACAAGCTGTTACCCAGAGCTGTCTTGTACACAGTGATGCAAATAGTTCTACCCAAGTGATCTTAACAAAAACCAGAGGTATGCTGCTGTTCCCTCTACCTGAGATCGTCTTTGCAAGGCTGTGTGCTTCTTACCCTTTAGTCTCGGTTTTGTGCCACAACCTCAAAATCAGCCTAGCTAAAGATAAGCCTCCTCCTCTCTACCCTTTCACCCTTTTCATTGAGTTCAATATCATTGCCATTATCTAGAATTATATTTTCATTTGAAAGGTATTTGTTTCTTTTCTATCTCTTTCACTTTATGTATAAACTCAAGAAGGTCACGCATCCCCCCACCCCCAGTCCTTAGTACCTGCCTGGCGCATAATAGGTATGCCAGAAAGATAGATAAATGCACTAATAACAAGATACACTGAAATATGCAGATAGCTAGGTTGGCCACACCTCACAGAGAAGACCCTGTAAGCTCATCTGAGTATGGAGCCAAGCAGCACAGAGCAAGAAGGCTAACAAAGAACAAGAGGCTCCAAAAACGGAGCTCAGAGCGGAGAGAGGATAGATGATGCATCCTTTGCAAAGATTTGATCAGAGAGTATTTTTGACGTTTGATTATTATGCTCATACACACTTTGTAAGTCACATTATCTACAAAGTTAGATGTAAAGGATGTGCATGTTTAATCTGGACACAGATGGAGGGAATACCAAATCCTTCAGTTTTTCTTTTACCTGTTTTCAAGAATAAGTTTATTGTTTTTCTATAACAACTTTATTGAGATAAAGCTCACCCTTTAAGATATACAGGCTAGTGATTTTTAGTACAATCACAGGTTGCACGATCATCAACATTATCTAATTTTAGGATATTTTCATCAATCCCAAAAGAAATCATCAGCAGTCACACCTCCATTTTCCCTTTCCCCCTATTCCTAGGGAACCACTAATCTTTTTATCTCTATAGATTTTTCTATTCTGGACATTTCATAGAAAAGGATTGTACAATATATGACCATTAGTGTCTGACTTTCACGTAACATACTTTCACAGTTCATGCAGCATCCCTCACCACTTCATTCCTTTTCTTTGTTTGTTACTTAAGACTGGGACTCCCTATGTGGCTAAGGCTAGTCTCAGTCTCCCAGGTTGAAGTGATCTTGGCTGGTGTCAAACTCCTGGGCGCAAGTGATCCTCTTGCCTCAGCCTCCTAAATAGCATCCCTTCTCTTAATTTTGTCAATGGTGGTAACATACGTAACACAAAAACTGAAACTCTGAACCCATTAAACAATTATTTCCCATTCTTTTCCCCCACCACCCCTCAGCCTCTGGCAACCACTTTTCTGCTTTCTCTTTCTACATATTTGACTGCTCTTCATACCTCATTCAGTTTGTGTCTGGCTTCACTCACCTTGCATAATGTCTTCCACGGTCATCCAAGTTGTAGCAATCGGAATTTTCCTCTTCTCTGATGCTGAATAAATATTCCATTGCATGTATGCATCGTACTTTGTTTAGCTATTCATTTGTCCATGGCATTTGGTTTATTTCCATCTTTTGGCTGTCATGAATAATGCAACTATGAACATTAATTACAAATATTTGCATGAGTCTCTGCTTTCAACACTTCTGGGCTTATATGCAGGTGTGGAGTTACTAGATTATATGATAATTCTCTCTTCAGTGTGTTGAAGAGCAGCTATCCTGTCTCCCATAGTAGCCCTACCATTTCACATTCTTAGCAGCAATGCAGAAAGTTTTCCATTTCCCCGCATACTTACTTGTCAACTTTGGTTGTACCCAACCCCACTAAACAGCTTAGTGGGTATAGAATTATATCTCATGATGGTTTGGATTTTCATTTCTCTGATAGTTAATGATGTTGAACTTTTCTTCCTCTCTTTTCCTTTGAGGGTGGGGTGGGGATGAAAGATACAGAGGATCAAACCCAGGGCCTTTTCACTGAGCTACATTTGCAGCTTTTGAAGAAATCTTTTTTTTAAAAAAAATCTTTTATTTTGAGACAAGGTCTTGCTAAATTGCCCAGGTCTTGCTAAATTGCCCTACCGATATCTCTATGTATATATATGGGTGATATGATGTATGTACACATGTGTACACAGAGGTCATTAGAAAGGAATAATGTCATAAAAATAGGACTATACTCTGGATATTTGGGCTCAAATCTATGATTCTTCTGCCTAGCAGCTGATCAGCCTTCCAGAGTGCTGGGATTACAAGCATGTGCCACCATCTCCAGCTATGCTGAGTATTATTTTAATGTGATTTTTTTGGCCATTTGTATATCTCCTTTAGAGAAATGTCTGTTCAGATTTTTTGCCTATTTCTTATTTGAATTGTCTTTTATTATTTATTTACAAGATTACTTCTTATATTCTGGATATAAGTCCCTTATCAGATGTATGATTTGCAAATATTTTCTCTCATTCTATGGATTGTCCTTTCATTTTTTGATAGTGTTCTTTATAGCACAAAAGTTTTTAATTGTGACAAATCCAGTTTATCCCTTTTCTCTTTGATTACTTGTGTTTGAAGTGTGTCATATCTAAGAAGCCGCTGCTTCATGAAGGTTTATGAAGATTGGCTCTTGTGTTTTCATCAACGAGTTTCCTAACTTTAGCTCTTATACATTTAGGTTTCTGATCTGTCTTGTATACATTTTTGTATATGGTGTGAAGGCAACAGTCCAACTTCTTTCTTTTGGATGTGAATATCTAGTTGTTCCATAAGTATTTCATGAAAAAGCTATTCTTTTTCTTCACTGAACTGTCTTAATACCTTTGCTGAAACCAGTTGACTGTTAATGTAAAAATTTATTTCTGTACTCTTAATTCTATTGATCACTATTTCTATGCTAATACCAGATCGCTTGGTTATTGTGTCTTTGTATTAAATTTGGAATTTTATTTCATTTTGTTTTGTTTTTTGAGTCAGGATCTGTCTGTGTAGTTCAGGCTGGCCTTGAGCTCACTATGTAGCGCAGGCTGACCTTGTACTTGCAGCAATTCTCCAGCCTCCTGAGCTGGGATTAAAAGTGTGTGCCACCGTGCCCAATATTGGAAATGACTGGTTTTTCAGCTGCTACATATTCTACAAAAATTCAAGTAGGCTTGGTGCAGTGGTGAGTACCTGTAATCCCTAGGTACTCCAGAGCCTGAAGCAGGAAGATCAGAAGTTCAAGGCCAGCCTGGGCAATTTAGCAAGCCTGTGTCTCAAAAAATTTTAAAAAGAGTCGAAGCACTCAGTTGTAGAGTGTTTGCTTAAACATGTGTGGGGCTTGGGTTCAATATCCAGCACTGCCAAAAAATAAATAAATAAATAAAAATTCAAGCAATACAAAGAAGGATTTAAAGTATCATTCAAAGTTCCATCACTTAGAGCTACCTTTAATTAATATTATGTGAACATATGATTCCAGAAATCATACTTTCTATATGTTATATAGATATGGTGTGTCTACTAGTATTTCCATGTGTATATATATATGAGTGGTGTGATGTATGCACACGTGTATGTAGAGATCATTAGACAGGCATAATGTCCTAAGAATAGGACTATACTCTGGGTATCTGGGGGGAGGCAGTGCTGGGGATTGAATCCAGGGCCTCATGCATCCTAGGCAAGCACTCTATTACCAAGCTACAGCCCCAACCCCTGTCTGTACTTCTCAATGAAATGTTTTAAATTTTCTTTTACTCAAACTTAATAAATGAAACACTAAAAGTGAAGTAAAGAACGTTGTAAACTCCAAATTAATGAAAGAGAGATCCTTTTCTTAAAAATAGTGTTCTATGGTTAAGAAATATTATTACTAAAAAATGTTAAGAGGTTGAAGTTGCTGGGGTTTTTCCCTTTCTTATAAGTATTTCACGTTAGAATGCATCAAATTATTCATGGCTATAAAGATGAGGAAATGAGCAGTTATATACTTTTACTACTTTCTCCATTCTAAATTTTTCTTAATTGTTATTTTTATGTAGTCCAGGTTTATTTCATTAATAGTATCTGCTATAACCATAACTTTCACAGTTGAATAGTCTTAGCTTCGTTTAAAGGATTTCAGCATTCGCCACCAATCATTTTGCCATGCTTCTATATTCACGAATATTTTATTTTGATTCAAGTCTTCGTTGGCTGAATTTCATTATCAAGTTGATGTTCAAGTTGTAGTCTCACAGGCTGTGAGACTTCTGAGCTTTTAATGCTAGAGAATACTTGTTTATTGTCTGCACTGGAATTACAGACTGGCTGGGTTGAACATTCTTGGGTCACATTTTTATTCCCCAGAACTTTATAGACATTGCTCAGTTGCCCTGTGGCATCAAATACCTTGTGAAAATCACCCACTTCTCACCCTTTATACCACTTAGATGATAGAAGAATTCTTTATCTTTGAAGCTTAGTAATTACAAAAACTGGGTTCATGCCCATGATTCTGTGTTACCCATCCCTCCAACAGTGTGTATTTTTTAGCCTTAGACTCTATTCAGGGGAATTGTCTTAACTGTATCTTTGAACAATTTTTTTTCCCTTTACAGGCTTCTGAATTTCAAGTTTACCAGTTATCCTTATAGTACATCTTCTTTGTGATCCGTCTCTATTTTTTTTTTTTTTTGGTACTGGGAATTGAACTCAGGACCTCATGCTTGTCGGCAGGTTCTGTACCACTAAGCTAAACACCCCCAGCCAGCCCCTCCATCTCTACTTATTTGCTCATTGCTCTTTTTCTTTTTCATGGTTTGTGTTTGTTTCAGGCGACTTCTTTATTTTTAATGTTATTTTCCTTAATATCTGTACTTTTCTTTGCTGTTTCTATTTCATTAATGCCCCTGTATTGCTATTATTTTGCTTAATTTATTTCCTTTACATTGAAATAATTGCTTTCATCTCTTTTTGTTGTTTTGTCATCATTGAGCTTTCATTATAGTGGATTTATATTCGTATTACATGTTTTTGTTAATTTATTTCATAGTATAAGTTATCCGAGGAGAATTTTCTTCTGTTTCTTGGATTATGTTTTCTTCAAGATTGGATTCTTTGTCTTTTAAATGTTGTGTTTCTTTTTGTCTCTTTCTATGGGTTATTGTATTAGTTTACATAATTGCCATGCTTTTTGCTCCTTCTCAGCATGGATAGCACTGCCCTGACCTTTTATTTATTTTCGTATGTCGGAGCATTGTCCTTGATTCTTTCCCAACGTGTTTTAGGCTTGTTTTTCTTCCTCTGAGCTATGGTTTGAAACTTGGATGTTCTGTACGTAGGAGACAAGCTCCAATGTAGAGGTTTACAGCTTTCGTTGCGAGGATTTGGCTTGGCTACTCTTGAAAATTTGTTAAATGTCACCTGCCAAGATTCTTGGGACATCATATGGGTGTAGATTTTTCCAATTGTAAGTTCTCTGTCAATTAATATTGCTCCTCCAATTTAGTTTGGAGCCCTGGAACTTCTCCAGTTCATCAAAGAGAGTCATACTCCGTGGTTTATTGCCCGCACTTTGCTCATGTCTCTCCAGCAAGCATTTCCAGGCTGTGCATAGTCAAAGAAGAAGAAAGACAAATATAGTCATGTTTCTTTCCAAGTGTGTGGGTATTTGTGAGAATTGGGATTTGGGCAATTCACCAGCACTGCTACTGCTAAGCATGTAGGGTACTGAGGGGGTACTGAGGGAAAGTTAGAAACAGTGTTGGAATCTTATGTTTCTTTTCTTGGTTGCCTGTTTTCCAAGTTTATAGCAGGAGGCTATGCCTCTTTCCTGTTTGAATACTATTGGTCAAGCTTTTGCTATTTAAGCCAATATTTATTTTAATTAATTAATTTTGAGACAAGGTCTTGCTGTGTGTCAATCTCCTGAGTTCTAGTGATCCTCCCACTTCAGCCTCCAGAGTGCTAGGAATACAGGTGCATGCCACCACACATTTATTGTATATATATGTGTTTCGTGTACATATTGTGCATATATGTATACATGTGTTATTGTATATATAATGTATATATGTGCATATATGTGCTTTATTTTATGTATATGTGTATGTTTAATGGATGCAGTTTTGTTTATGTCACTAGTTAGTTACTGAAGAGGAAAAACTATTGTTCACTTTCTTTACTCAGTTGTCCCTCAACTTCTTTGTATTTCAACTTACTTTTTCCTCTTTTCCTCCTTTCTGAGCACCCCATCTGCCCAGCATTTCAGTATTATAATCCTTCCAGCTGCTACTAAACCCCTCTCTTGATTTTAGCAGTGACTCTTCTGACAATCTCATTTCTTCTGTTTTTACCATACCAATCCTGTCCTTGCTTCAACATTTTGATTATCTGTTTTACCTCTCCTATCTTTTCCTCACAACTATGGTAAATGTTCAGAAAAAAAAATTGAACAGAAATTGTTGGTTCTGTGTAATTATCAAGCTATTGTCAGTTTATCCAGTAGAATCCACGTGTACTTGCTTTTTATTGAATACTTTCATCAGGAATAAAAAATAATTACTGAATTAACCACGTGCCAAAATCAGTATTAGTTTCTTTAAAAAATTGTAGTGCTTAGTTTATTGTTATATGTTAGAGTACAGTGTTTGTATGATTAGCACATAGATTATTAGAAGAGGAGAAAATGAAAAAATTCTCAAGGAATGTGTTTTCTAACTGAGGCATGGGTTTGTAACCATTGCTAAGAACCCAGATAAAATTCCATCCCATGCCCCTCTCAAAACAACTATTTCATTTCTTTTGCCTTTGATTTTTATTTTCAGGCAGACTGCAGAGGTGACAAGCTAGGACCTCTATTATTTGTAGATAGTTGACTTTGTTAATGATCCTAGATTCAGCTAGGAGAGAAAGCCCTCCTTGTCCAAAACTAGCTTTCACATGACTGCCATCACACTGAAAGATGGAAGACAGGAAAGAACTGAAGAGAGGTAGTGGGAGAAGGAATAATCATGAGACGTATTTCTTTTAATTTTATTGTGTTCTTGTGAGTGGGGAAGAGCTTCTGTCACAAGTTCACTCCATGCCAATTTATAAAAGGAACCATGAAAACTAGTGCTTTATGCTTAAAAATTGGCTCTCTGTAAGGAGTAAGAAAGGCCAGTTGGGCTGGTTCCACTGATAGATGCTACGGAGACTGCCTGGATGAGTGACTGTCTTCATGAATGGATGGAGCCCAGGACAGAAGCCTATCTGGCACTGTTGAAAGAACATTCCCACAGCCTATGAGGATGTCTTGGAGACACCCACAGTGACGGGTTGCTCGGTAGACTCCAGGTAGCTGCTATGTTGCCTCAGGCCTCAGCTCTGAGGAGGGAAGAGGCAGGTGCTCCAGTATGGTTTACCGAGCAGGAATCAAGACCCCACCTTTCTTTAAGAATAAAGCGTGGCTTCTTGGGAACCTTCTGTACTTACCTTGTATTTACAAAGAAATCGGGGTCGTGGTGCTGTGCAGTCTTGTTTACAAAAACAAAAATGATCCAGTTGTAATGGCAAAATGCAAAAAGATGGAATTAAGGTTAACTGTGAATTTCCTGCTTCTCATGCAATTAAATGCTCCCTCTTACCATTAAGTTATTGTGATTTTTCCCTCACATAATTTGAGCATAAATTATCAGGCAAATATGAGATAAGTCAGTATGAGGGATAAGGTGATAATGAAGTGAAAATCATTAAGAAGTTATAATTACAATACTCGAGCTTTTAAGAAGCAAAAATTCTGTCAATAAGTAATCTAGGAAAAGCAATCCACTCATCTATTGGATTTACAGAGCAGTCTATTAATATACTAGATTGTGATAAATGAATTTCTAATTCAACATTTTACAAAATAATTTTTAAAATAATAAAAATAATGACATCAAGAACCTAAGTAAACATAATTCTTTGCATTCTAAATACTACTCCCGTTCCCCTTAGTATTTTTCTCCATACATATCCATGAAGGGTGTATTTGTAAGACATTGATTAATTTGGGCTTGTCTGTCCCCTACACATTCTCTACACAATTTGTTCTTTAAATATTATTTTTGTTATTCTTTGTGTTGTTTTCTTTAAGTGAAGAAGCAATAGGCAAATAGTCTTAGTAAGTGAACAGGGGTTACAAGAAGTAAATCTTTCATCAGTGCTCTTATAAGGGAGACTTTGCCTCTGGGAGATATGGACCAAAATAACCCATGAACACAAAGAAATGTTATGGCCACTTTCACTAGTATAGTGGTGGCTATACCTCAGTGTGAGGATCAAAAAGGAACACCTTGTCCAAATTGTATGCAGATTCTTATTTGCCTATAATTTCATCTGTTTTGTAACATGAAGATTGGAATTGCTGCTTTCATCTCACACTTAATTACATGGGTCTCTTCAGACCTCTGGGGAATCCTGTTTGCAACCTCGTATCTACTAGAAGGACTTCAGCCTGGAGTGGTTCTTACTTGGCATGTGTGTGTTTGGTCATCTGGGCTTACACTTTAAAGGACCTGTTTTGAAAGATTATTTTCCATTTTTAAAAACTTCAAGTATGGATCTTCTTTATTGTTCAGTATCAAGTTCCAAGAAAGTTAAGTATTGTTCTTGTTCTGTTTCATGTTCTACAGTTCTCCAAAATATATCCTACCTAGAATTCAGATGATAAATGCTTGAAATTAGAGTTACCTGTTTAGCAAATAAAAACAACAGAAAAATATAGTTACATTTGAATTTCAGAAAAACAATGCATAATTTTTCAGTGTGTTCCTATTCCCAGTTTAGCTGGGTGTACTCTATTTTATCTGACAACACCAGTTAAGACTAAAATTCCAGGGTTAGATGGACTGGAAAGTTGGGTCACAATACCCAAGGTACAGATTACATATAAATGAACATGTGTATTTGAATTTTTTAAAAGTTGTATGGTACTCTGGTATGTTTTAAAAGAGCTCTTATCTGTTAAATATATTTACTAAAACACTGATGAAATTGTGTAATGTTTGAGGTTTTCTTCTAAATAATACAGGTGTCAAGGAGGTGGCTAGGAGACAACTGGCTGTGGGTTGGTGGGTATATGACAGTTAGTTATTTTAGTTGGTCTACTTATGAATTTTCCCTGAGAAAAGAAATTATGTGTGTGTGTGAGAGAGAGAGAGAGAGAGAGTGTGTGTGTGTGTGTGTGTGTAAGTCAGTCATGTAAGGCATGTGTGTAAGTCATGCCTTTAGGTTTAAAAAAGTTCCATCATGTAAACATCTCAGATGTCTGGTGTCTGACCTGTACTGTGGTGTGAGAGGAGGCTGCATGTCGAGGCAGGGCTTCTGCACCAGGTTTGGAATCGTGGCATCTTTGTTTCCTGACTGGCCTATTTGTCATCCTGATTTTTGTCTCTGTGTTTCCATGGAACAATGCAAGAGTTTTGCCAGTTAGTGACTAGCCTCTGGGAGTTCAGACTGTTCAGGAGGATATTTGGGGAATATGAGGAGGAGAGTAAGCAGAAAGAGATGATGCTTTATGGCCAGCCTTTTGAAAAGAGATAAACATGTGAAATAAACTGTTGGGTTAGGTCAAAATAATAAACATTACATTTTTCAATTTGTTCATGGTTTTTCCAAAACAAATCTCATTAAGTCGTTGGATTGAAGCCCTGGAAAATTAATAAATTGAGTAAACAGTCTAATAAGTCAACATAGGTTCAGCTCTCCTAGCAGGTGAGCTGTCAACAGCTGGGAATACTCAGTCTCTGGCGTTATCCCAGGAAGTTATTTATTGATGGACATATTTAATGATTTTCTTTTTTCTGATTCCAGGATTTTCTTCAAATGCTGTTGGAGAATATCCCAGAAGAAAAAAGGTGAGGACCAATTTAGGAATTAAGAGTCCAATTTTACTTACAGTGTTGAAAATGACCTTACCAATTTGGCTTATTACAATATAGAAAGTTCAGTCTTTCTCTCTCTCTTTCTCTTTTTTTTTTTTAATGGTTGTTATTTTACCTATTGGTATCTTCAAGATAGTTTCTCAGGAAAACAAATAGACAAATATTAGTGAGTTACAGACAAAAATGGTAGGAAATTATCAATGGTTGTTGTACATACTTTGGTTTCTTCAAAGTGGTTTCCAGGGAAAACAAATAGAGCTATACATGAGTGATCAATTAAATAATCA